TTTGCAAAGTAATTTGTGATTTATGAAATGAAATGATAGATCGGAACTGGTATCTTCTGTCAGGTGAAGCAGCATCCTTTCTTCGCAAATATTAACTGGGAAACACTTGCAAGGCAGAAGGTATTCGTCATTGTTGCATGAAGGAATTGGTTTAACTAATTCTGTATATATTTATGAACCTTAAAGAAGCTTTTATTTTTTATCACAGGCAATGTTTATACCGTCAGCAGAGCCGCATGATACAAGTTATTTCATGAGCCGTTATATATGGAATCCAGAAGATGAGGATTTTAATGGTGGAAGTGACTTTGATGAACATGATTTGACTGATACTTGCAGCAGTAGTTCATTCAGCATCCTACCAGATGAAGATGTAAGCTTGCATATAATTGTTTGCCTGTCTTGAGCATTTGCCTCTAACAGATGAAATCCTTTCTGTTATTTGTTACCCTTAATCTGGTACTCATTAATTGGAAGAAATCTTCTTAAGAACCAAGAATGCAATAATAGCATGGTTAGGCTATCTATCACCAGGAAGATCTCCAAATCTAAGAAAGAAATCACCATCATTGTTTGGTAGCGACCAAGGATTTGTGCTAAATTTGCATGGACACACGGATTTCCAATTTGGTTAATTATTCTTACTCATATGAAAGCCCTGGAACAACAGTCAAGAATTAAAAGATGCACATCAGGTTAATTATTCTTACTCATATGAAAGCCCTGGAACAACAGTCAAGAATTAAAAGATGCACATCATACATGTTGGTATGATGCTCTTGATCATATTCCGCTCTCCCCCTTTTCGTTAGTCCTTTTGGGTGAGTGAACACAGCTGAAACAAAAGCCGATGTTGATTGTGGAAAATATTCATCATGTATAATCTAGCTTGATATATTTCAACTCTGTTTTATGACTTGACTGGAGATTTCAGTCTGATAGTGTGGTCAAAATCCATGGAGAGTCATGTAGGTTAAGCTCTACGATATTACATTCAAGTACTGACAAATAGCTTTAAATCTCTGTGGAATTGCGATGGTTAAATTGGAAATGGATGCTCATACTTTCTTTTTCTTAATATAGAAAAAAAAATCTATATAAAGGATTTAGGACTTTGAGATTGTTATATCCTCCATTTTGAGTTCTTGGATGTCATTGAATCAGGGGGATGAATGTGGTAGTTTGGCTGATTTCGGTGCACCAGCTCTTTCTGTGAAGTACTCGTTCAGCAACTTCTCTTTCAAGGTAAGGCTTGCTAGGCCTACAAATTCTCTTTCTCAATAGAAAATCAAGATAATGCTATCATTATTGTCCAATGTAAAGCAAGTGTGTGCAAGTTAGAAATGAATTACGTACTAATTTGTGGAGTATTCAATATTGATGGTGGTGTTGGGTTGAAGGTAAGATCAAAATATGATGCATCAACAACATTATTTTTTACAGAACTTATCACAGCTGGCTTCCATCAATTATGATTTGGTTGTGAAGAGCAGTCAAAACTCACCAGATGTAACCAAGCCATCCATTCCTTGAAGCTTTCTACACTATTCCAACCCAATAACTAGTGGTATGAATGAGCTTTTGGCATAATCTTTTAAATTTGTTTTGTTTTATTGTATAGGCAGCAGCAGCAGCTCTACTGAGGCTTTTATTAACCCTTCCCTTATATAAATTACACTGTAAAAGCCCACATATATAATTTATGTAGCTTTTTTGTGTAAGATGTACATTAAAATTATAACATTCCAGTTTCACAGTTATGTAAATGGATTTTCTAGTTTAAATTGGGAGATCAAACCATTCACATGGTAGTAGATGTTGATATAAACCAAGGTACCTTAGTCATACCACAAGGACTTCAAGGAAGATGTTGGGATTTTATCCTACATTTTGTCCAAGTTCTCAACAATATGAGGTTGCATTTAATTACTCAAGTGCAATTATTAACCATCAATTATGGAATTCAAAGTTCAAGCATCTCGGAGGATTACAAACTTTTGGTTGGGTGATTAGAAACTCCCATTCTTGGAATTATAGTCTCTTTTGATGTATTTTCAATTTTAAGATTTTCCATTAGGTTAGAATTAATTAATGGTTGTTTATGGTAAATCCTTGAATTGACCACAGTTACTTTAGGGTTAAATTCCAAGCTATAAGTATTTTCACTGTAAATATCTTCCATTAAAAACAATTAAGATGCCATTAAGACTATAATGTTCAGACGGTCAGCTTGTTGAAGCTAACGAATCGTATTGAAGAAATTTAACATCCACAAAAATGCATGCCTGAAAGTGATAGCCTCTCTAGCCAGAGAGTGAGCAACTTCATTTGAGTTCCTGTACACATGATGGAAACAGACCACCAAGAACGATATAGAAACGGTTTCAATATCTGCAATCCATTTGCAATGCAAGCCTCAAGCCTTTTCAAATGGCGGAAAAAGAAAAGAGATTGGATTTCCACCCTTGAACCACTCTCCAAAGACTTCCCTTAATCTTCCAAGTTGGGTACTAGTTGCATTTCCAAAATCGATTGCATATAGTTCTTGAAATCAACGTGAACGTTTGGAGAAAACTACAGTGTTGAATTCTCGAAATTTATTTTCTAACTCGATGTCTTTTCGTAATCAAGCAGAATCATCTATATAGCATAAAGCTCAGAAATTGTTGCCTGGCATAAAATAAGACTATCATCTGCCAAGAAAAAAATGAAAGATAGAGGGGCAAGAGGAAGTTATTGAAATACTTGAGATCCAGTTGGACTCATGAGCTCTTTGAATGGTTGCAACAAAAAGGTAAGGGGACAAATGGTCCCCTTGTCGAAGGCCTCTTTTGGAGTGCGATATGGCCTTTAGTCTCTCCATTTATCATAAGAAACAAGGAGTGAGTAGTGATGCATTTCATAACTATCCCATAACTATCCCCACCCACCGTGCATCAAGACCCATCTTCAACATCATCCTCTCTAAAAAGATCCATTTCAATCTATCATATGTCTTGCTCCTATCCAACTTTAAGGGCCGCCATACCATTTGAACGTATGCACTTCTTCTTCATGGCATGAATATACTCATGGCCGATCACAATTTTATCATAAATTACTCTTCGAAATATGGAGTTTAAAACCAATTTCAGTTTACTTGCCAGTACGCTATCTTATAAGAAAAATGAGCATTTGTGATTTAATTTAGCTAAGAGTTAATGTATTTGCAACCTTGTGATAGTTTGCATGCTTAGGATCATTCAAGTGAGACTTAATCTATTGCTTGTGGAGTGGTTCGAATTTCAAACAAGGAAAGTTTTCTTGCCTTGGAATATTTGATCAACAGAGTAATCCATTTTTACTTTCTTTGGGTTGATTCCATTTAATCGTTTTGAGGTTTTTGAGGATTGAGTTCTATGTTAACAGGATTTTGGATCCAATTCTCAAGAGTTTCTTAACATTTTATCTTCCTTAAAGTCCTTGTCGCATGATTAATGTACCTCGATTTATATAAGATGTCTTGTTCACTTGAGCTAATACTCGGATTGACTTAAATTTTAATACGGATAAATGTTAACAAGTGAAATGACAATTAGGGTAAATAGATAAAGGAAGAGAGTAGTATAAACACATTTTTAGAAAGAGGATGGGAGGCAAAAAATGCATGGAAAGAAAATGTCAGCAATATATGTCCTCTTTTCACGCGCCCGAGAGTACGATTTCATTGTAATCGCCGTGTGTGCTGCTAGATTCGGATTTTAAGAAAACGGACGGCCACAATACTATCATCTTAGAGGCGTGAGCGAGTAGGATAAAAACCTATCTGACCGTTCAGGCTTTTTATTTTCTTTACCCTTTTTCTTGAAATTTTAGATCCCACCACGTGTCGAAATCTCACCCATTGATCGTAGTTGATCATATTACAACTTTTTTTTTTTTTTGAAAATGAACTTCATTGAAGAAACCCTGCGATTAAGGCTACATAATTTTGCAAATCAGCGTCAACATGCTGAATGAGAAAAAAAGGGAAATTAGATAGCCACAGAAACGACCCCATCCTAATACTTTCCTTCACTAAGGAATGAGCAGTAGTATTTGACTCCCTAAATACATGATGAAACGAGATCGACGTGAAGGATTTCGCCAGAAAATGTATGTCGGCTATCCAATTTGCAGTCTCGTCTCTTGCGAAGGACTTTCCACAAATTAAGAAAAGTGTTAAATAAGAAAAGTGTAACAATATTAATATACATAAGATAGATTTGAATACTTTTTGTAGAAAGAATAAAAGGGTACTTCGCCCTATCTCAAATTTAAAATATGATTATCCCGATAGCAAACGTGCGGACGAAGTGGATCATGTGGCTCAAAAGATTAGAGCACATACCTTAAGCTCTCACCTTACTAAAGAGCCGACAACTTTTTTTATTTTAATTCTGATCTTAACAATTTAAAATTATTATGCTTGATGTTCTAAGCTTTACAATAATAACACTAACACACAAAGTAATATCTATTATCATCAAAATCTTATTAATTAAATTAATTAAAAGAAAGTAAATATAAATGTCCCATATTTGTAAGTCTTAAAAAAATTGTAAAATGGTCCCATTTTGAAATGTTGACTCAGGTTGTCATTTTTTCTTGTTTGTTAAAATTGAGATACAATCAACTTATCAATTTAGAAAAATAATTTCAAAAAGAAAGTTTAGAACCTCTCTACAAGATGTTATTTCAAGTATTTATTTATTATATTGTAAAAAATGTGGAGCAATGTCTCAATTTCAGTGCGGCAGATCAAAATTTCCTCCTACAATTATTTGTGTTAATGCATTATTTAACTCATCCACCTCTAAAAAAACACCTCTTTCCGTCCTCAATTTGATATCTTTTTTTTTTTTTTACTAAGATCCTCAAATTAAATTAATGAATGTTAAAACAATTATACCCCATTCCAAAAGTAACCATTATACATTAACTTCTTCTTTTGTTTTATATATATATTTATTTTGCAGGTATGGATCATCATAATTACATTTACATGTGTGACCATATTCTTGTAAGTTTTCCGATCTTCATGCAATCATTTCATCTGCAAGACCGAAACAGAAGCCTAGAAATTAGAGTAAGATCAGTCTGAAGGCCACATGCCCACCAACTGTTTGTCGAAATCCCCCAAAGAACCAAACTCAAAATCCTCATCTCCAAGCTCCTTGTAGTAATCCAACAACCGATTCAAGCTATCCTCCGACGAATATGATCCAAAATCACTGTTGATTTCACTGCCCCACGTTGGGAAATTCAGCCACGGATCATCCCTCAGAGTCTCCACCCACATGTGGCTTGTCAATGCCTGATCTTTCCCTGCGAAATTAGCTTCTGATAATGAAGAAATGGCGGCTGAGGAATCAGTAGTACTGGAGCTGCCTTCGCTGCAACTCGGTTGCTTCTGCAGAGGCTGGTGCGTTACTGGATCCATCCCCATCTTGATCAGCTTCTTCTTGATGTGGGTGTTCCAGTAGTTCTTGATTTCGTTGTCCGTTCTTCCCGGTAATCTCGCTGCAATTTTTGACCACCTGACACCAAAGATCGATTTGTCGAGCCCAAAAAGGAATGAGGAAGAAAATTGTCCTCCTTTAGTTCATCGTAAATTCAAAAAATATATATAGAGTCAGATAAAATTTTAGTTCTTTTCCACTAATATATCTCTCTCAATTTTAGAATGGAAAGATTATATTTCGAAGGTAAAAATTTGTTATTCGAAGACAATTTCTGATTACCTGTTGCCTAGACGGGCATGGAGATCGATGACAAGTTGTTCTTCGGCATCATCGAGGAGGCCACGCTTCAAGTCGGGACGGAGGTAGTTGGTCCAGCGGAGGCGGCAGCTCTTGCCGCAGCGGCGGAGGCCAGCGAGCTTGGGGAGGGCGCGCCAGCAGCAGTGGCCGTAGGTGAGGATGAAGGTGACTAACTTGTTGTCTTCCTCGGCAGTCCATGGGCCTTTCTTCACACCAATCTTGTCACAGCATGGCTGCCTTCCCATCACTCCAAAGCCTTAAGTTTAAGTTGAAGTTCAAATTCAAGTGTGATCCCAAATGCCCCACCACACCCTCCCTTTTTAATACCCCAAGTGGGTTTCTTTTTTTGTGCATGGGCAAGAAAAGTGAGCGAGAGTTTTTTGTGCATGTGCAAGAAATGTGAGAGAGAGAGATCAGAGACTTCTCCGAGACTTCTTAGAACAAAAAAGTGAAAAGAAAAAAAATAGTTGAGAAAATGAAGGATTAATGATAACTTCAAATTCAAAAAGTTTTGTTTTCATTGGATGAAGGATAAATTTTACCTACTTTGGTGGCTGTGGTTCAAAGGCTTTTAACTTACTTGCAGCTTCATTGGTCTCTAGTCCTTTGGGTGGGAAAATAAATGGATAAAGTATATGATTGGTCTATTTGAAGATCCCAATTTTAAACGTGTTCAGACTTTTATAAAAGGAAAACACTTGATTCCTCGTGGGTAAGGAGCGACATTATTCTTACCACCATTAAATATTTAACAACTCATCATTTTTTAAAAAATCTTTATGTTTTTGCATTTCTTTCTCTTAATTGTCAAATATTTAATGGTGGTAAAGACAAATATGCTTGTTACTAGTGAGGAGGCAAGTATTTTCCATTATTTATCTTGAGTTTAACTC